TCACCCTCTCTCTCATTTGTCTTACTTAGCATAATATCCTCTAGGTCCATCCATATTGTCTCAAACAGCAGTATTTATTCCCTTTTTTATGGCCAAGTAATATTCCATTGTATATGTGTACCACAGCTTTTTTATCCACTTGTCTATTGACACCTAGGTTGCTTCCATATATATTGTGGCTATTGTAAATAATGCTGCAATGGGCATAGGGATGCATGTATCTTTTCAAATTAGTGTTTTTGGTTTCTTTGGGTAAATACCCAGCAATGGAATTGCTGGGTGAGTCATCCATGTTGTCACAAATGGCAAGATTTTATTCTTTTTTATTGCTGCATAATATTCCATTGTATATATGTACCTCATTTTTGTTATCCATTCTTCTGTTGATGGACACCTAGGTTGCTTCCATATATATTGTGGCTATTGTAAATAATGCTGCAATGGGCATAGGGATGCATGTATCTTTTCAAATTAGTGTTTTTGGTTTCTTTGGGTAAATACCCAGAAATGGAATTGCTGGGTTGTATGGTATATCTATTTTTAGATTTTTGAGGATTCTCCATACTATTTTCCATAGGGGCTGCATCAGTTTGCAGTCCCAGCAAGTGCACAAAAGGGTCCAGGACTTTTGTTTGTTGGAAGTATTTTTATTATTCCTTTGATCTCATTAGCTGTAATCAGTCTGCTCAGATTTTCTGTTTCTTTTGATTCAGTTTTAGAAGATTTTATGTAGAGGCCCGGTGCACGAAGTTTGTGCATGGGTAGGGTCCCTAGGCCTGGCTGGTGATCAGGGCTGATTGGGGCCTTCCTTTCCCGACTGCCGGCTCTCAGCCAGGGCTTTCCTTTCCTGGCTGCCAGCTGCCGTCCAGGGCCTTCCTTTGTTCCACACCATCCCCTGTTGGTCAGTGCACATCATAGCCGAATTCCCGAGGGGACACTTTGCATATTGAGCCACTTGGCCAGGGCTTTAAGTTAATTTTTACATGGTTTGGAGGAAGTGTCAACTCCACTGTTTTGCAAAAGTTGCCCCAAAACTTTTGAAGAAGAGACTATTCTTTTCCTCATTACAGTTTTTTGCACCCTTGTCAAAAATTATTTGACCATAGTCATATGAGTTTTTGTACACTCAATTCTATTCCATTGATCTATATGTTTGTCCTTGTGCTAGTACCTCCTGTCTTCATTACCATTTCTTTGTAATGTAAAGTAAGTTTTGATATCAGGAAGCATGAGTGTCTCTTTTTTCTTTTTCAAAATTGTTTTGTCTGTTAAGGATCCCTTGCAATTTCATATGAATTTTAGGATCAGCTTGTCCATTTTTGAAAAAAAAAAAAAAAAGCTGTTGGGTATTGTCATCTTAACAATATTAAGTTTTCCAATTACATATCCTTTTGTTATTCATCTGTAATAAGATTCTACTATGCCCTAACCGGTTTGGCTCAGTGAATAGAGCCTCGGCCTGCGGACTCAAGGGTCCCAGGTTCGATTCCGGTCAAGGGCATGTACCTTGGTTGCAGGCACATCCCCAGTGGGGAATGTGCAGGAGGCAGCTGATCCATGTTTCTAGCTCTCTATCCCTCTCCTTTCCTCTCTGTAAAAAATCAATAAAATATAAAAAAAAAAAAAAAGCTGTTGGGTATTGTCATCTTAACAATATTAAGTTTTCCAATTACATATCCTTTTGTTATTCATCTGTAATAAGATTCTACTATGGTCAGATAAGATACTTTGTATGATTTCTTTGTTATTGTTTATTCAGACTTGTTTTGTGTCCTAACACATGGTCTCTTCTGAAGAATGTTTCATATACACTTGAGATGAATATGTATTCTGTTGTTGGATGGATTGTTTAATATGTCTACTAGAGGCCCAGTGCATGAAATTCGTGCACTGGGGTGGGGTGTCCCTCAGCCCATCCTACACCCTCTTGCAGTCTGGGAGCCCTCGGGGATGTCTGATGGCCGCAGAGGCAGGAGAGGATCCCACCACCACTGCTGCACTCGCTACCCATGAGCCTGGCTTCTGGTTGAGCTGCTCTCCCCTCCTGTGGGAGTGCACTGACCGCCAGGAAC